ATCCAGGGTCATCTCTCTTAACTGGTTGGGTTACTGCTCAAGCCAGAACCAAAGCTGCGAGTTTCACATCACCTTACTTTATTCAACCAGTCTTCCTGAAAACGCTCCACCTTCCAGGTTGAGACTAGGCCAGATGTCATTTGTAGTTGAACTTAACATGTTATTCGATAAGCAGCTTGTAAATATTTTCTCCCATTTTGTCAGATACAAATATACTAACATGAAAGGTTCATAAAGGGCATAGGAGGGAAATTTTTGGAAGTCATTACTACCACATAATTATTTTATTTAAATTTAAAATTATAATAAAATAATATTCACAAAAATATATTGTTCACCTCCTGTAATTTACCATGAAGCATCTTGAATTTCTGCTTACATCCCTGTATGATGAGATAAATCTGCTGAAGTAAAATGTTGTGGGACATCATGCTTATCCACTTCATAGCAGCTTCTCCAGAAAATAGAATTGTGTCCAGCATTTACTTGATGTCTAATAAATATTCTAGTTGTTAGTAAGTACATAGTGCATTGATCTTGGAATCAGAAGACAGAAGGTCAATCTCAGTTCAAGTTTTCTCTTTTACTTACAAGATTGTTTTTTACCATGTTCTTGGTCCTATCATCTGCAATATAACGATGTGTGGCAAAATCAAGGATACTTCTTTACAAGTCAACTGTGATTTTAAAAACTTAGTTGCAAGTGTAACTTTTTAAAGAACGTGCTGAATGACATTTGATTGAGTTGGAGATGCCACAATCCCTAATCTCTTGATATCATCCATGTGGTTCATAATTCTCTATTCAATCTTATCTGACAAAGAGTATTTCCTCCCACAACTCAAAAACAGAAATTTACTCAAGTATTCAAGTGCTTTCACACAGCTGTCTAATATTCATGTGTTTTTGCCTTTTCTCAGAATTTTCAATATTTTTTCTTTATGTATTACATAAAGTTTAAAAGTGTCAAAATAAATTTTTTACATTTCTCCAGATTTTATCTTCTCTCAGAGCTTTCTGTCTGATTTTCTTCTCCTTTGACAGTGTTGAATGTATCATAATAAAATGGGGCTATAAATGGTGCTATATCAATTGTCATGTGTGCTTTTCCAATTAATTTTTTTTTTGACAGGCAGAGTGGACAGTGAGAGAGAGAGACAGAGAGAAAAGTCTTCCTTTGCCATTGGTTCATACTCCAATGGCTGCTGCGGCCGGCGCGCTGCGGCCAGTGCATCCTGCTGATCCGATGGCAGGAGCCAGGTACCTATCCTGGTCTCCTATGGGGTGCAGGGCCCAAGCACTTGGGCCATCCTCCACTGCACTCCCGGGCCACAGCAGAGGGCTGGCCTGGAAGAAGGGTAACCTGGACAGAATCCGGCGCCCCGACCGGGACTAGAACCTGGTGTGCCGGCGCCGCAAGGTGGAGAATTAGCTTAGTGAGCAGTGACGCTGGTCCCAATTAATGTTTTATAATAGATAACAGTATATAAGCTCATGAGTTTTTTATTCAGATATTAATTTAGGTTTGGCTTACACTGAATGAATATGATACTGATTATGTTATAAAAGACAAATAAATATATAGAAAAATCTTATTCTCATTACTTCATGCAATCTAATTTTCATTTTGTACAATATGGTTTAATTTTTTTTTACTTATATCTTTAAGAATATACATAGAATGAAATTTTACCTGAACGCCAGATATAAATTTCTTTTAAAAACTATATTGATAAACATCATAGGGTAGCTATTTATGATAAAACTGATTTTCAATTTTTAATTTGTAGAGTGAAAAAAGGAAATCTATCTGAAACATATGTACAAGTGAAATAATAGGGCCATCTAAAAGTGAAATGTTATTAATTTACTAATTATTTTGAAATATTTCAGATCTGCCACATATATATCTTAATTGTCCTTTTTAGATAAACTAAATCTGGAAGCTCTATCTATGTTTTGCAAAATAATGAATGGGGAAGTACCTATGCTGGAAAAGAAAGAAGAAATGATTGAGGTATCCTTGAGATGTACAGAGAGGAATGCGGATCATATAACACCATGTTTTGATACTTGGTCCCCTTGTAAATTCATGCTGCCATTTGTCATTTTTAATAGTATTAAAAAGTGAGACTTTAAGAGGTGATTAGCTCCTGGAGGCCTGATACTCAAGGAGGGTGCCATTGGAAACAGGCAAATGGGACCTCAATTGCCTTATCTTGCTCCTCCACTCTTATTCCTTATGAGGCTCTTCCCTCCAAAGGCACACCAAAGCTGCTAACAATTTCACCTTGGACTCTGGCCTCTGGAATAGTGAGCTAATATATTTCTGTTGGTAAATTATCCAGTTTGTTGTATTCTGTCATAGCAGCACAAAATAAACAAAATCAGCAACCATTTCTTTATGTGGAGAAAGCCAGGGGGGTCAAACATTGACTGTCTTTTCCAGAGAAGTAGAATGCTCTCTGGTGGGACAGAGACCACATTGTCTATTCTTTTCACTGGCATTCATCCTCAAGGCAATGGAAAAGAAATGAATTTAACTCAACTTCTGATACAAAGAATTCATAGTCTTAGCTCCAATTCATATCCCAAGTTTCAGAATCGACTATCCAATTACTGGATTATTAAAACAGGATTTAAAATACAGAATGAATAGACAAACATATATGAAACACTTGGAGAATATGCTATCAAAAGTTTTTTAAAAAGCATAAATATAGTAGTTCATTAAAGAAAACTGAATTATCACTGAGAGTGACAACAGTAAATAAAAAGCTGATGTTTAAAAGATTTTTTTTTAATGATTAGCTTTGTATTTCTTTCCTTGAGCAAGAAACTATGTATTGTTATAATTTTAGTGCACAGCTGTAAAAATATGTATGTCTGCTTCTCTTACTGAATATATGTGTATATATACAAACGTACATTTTTTTCTCCTGTAAGTTGTACTGAATCTGTATAAATGGTCCTTTGATAAAATTATTTATTAAAATCAGAATTCCATATTTTATATTGTGGATAATATAGTTAATCTATACAGATAAATTTATGCTACTGCATCTGGTTCACTAGTCAATTGATACAAAATTGATTTTTAGAATATTTCTTTTTTTGGGTTATTGAAGTTTTGTAGTGAAAAATCATCTCTCTTCTAGCTCAAAATATATAAAGTATTATAAGTTATCAATCATCTATTCTCTGAGCCAAATATTATATATGTTCCTTTAGTGATTCAAACTACAATATTGAGGTAGTAACCTTAAACACTGATAAAAAATAGAACTTCTTAACTTGTTGGTATTATTTCCCTCTAATATAATACTTTTGATATATTTTGCATTTGAAAACAAGTTTTGTGCTGTCAGAAGCAGAAAAATAGGTAAACTAAATCTCTAATAACAAAATTTCTTCAGTGTAATACTGAAAAATGTGTCAACCTTACTATACGTGATATTTGTAGCACTTGGGAAATTAATGATGAAATTTACCCTGCAATGATAGGGAGATAGCATGTTGGAGGTGTGTCCATACAATAGTATTTTTTGTCAATATGTTTGCTAAGGCTGTTACGACATACTCTGGTTTGGCTCTGAAATAAGCTCTATAATTCAATTTCTAAGAAGATAAATAGAAGCCAGTACCCTTTGTCTCTTCTGATTCATCAATAAATCCACCAATTTAATATTTATTGGGCAGTTTTCAACAGTACAGAACTCCATTTATGTCCTCTTTAAGACGTACACAAGTATGAAAGGCACATTTTCTCTTTCCAATATTACATTTTCAGCTCAAACAGCCTTGGTTCCAAAAAGTAGATATGTCTTAAGAGGCAACTGTAAAAAATTGGAGCCTGAATTATATTTTAGGGTTTTATTTTGGAAATACCTAGGTATTAAGAGAGTACATGGATGACTAAGAGCAGAAGAATAATTTCCAGTTATATTTTTAAAATTTTTTATTTATAAAAGGGAAATAAATTTCATGTATTTCATATATACAATTTTAAGAGCATAATGATACTTCCCACCATATTGTCCCTTTTGCCTTGTCTATCTTCTCCCTCCATCTTTCTTAATTTTTTTAAATTTTTACAATGACATGACTTCAATTTTCTTAATAATCACCAGCTTAACCCTCCTTTAAATACAGAATTCAACAAATAGTAAGTAGCAAAACCATTGTTCCTGAAGAGCACAGACAAGGGCTATAAACCATAAGCAAATTTGAAAATGTCAATTTTACTCACATACATTACATTGTATTGTGTACTCTGTATTTTGGTCACCACAAATAAAGGAAAACATGTGATACTTGTCTTTTGGGGACTGGTTTATTTCACTAAGTATAATGGTCTCTAGGTGCATCCACTTTGTTGCAAAAAAAGGATTTCATTCTTTTTTATGGCTGTGTAGGATTCTATAGTGTATATATTCCACATTTTCTTTATCTATTCACCAGTTAATAGATATCCAGAGTGATTCTGTATCTTGGCTATTGTGAGTTGATCTCCTATAAACATGGGGATAAACATAACACAGTCACATGCTGATTTCATTTCCTTTGGGTAAATTTCCAAGAGTGGATGGGTAGCTGTGTCATACATTAGATCTGTTTTCATATTTCTGAGGAATCTCCATATTGTTTTCCATAATGGTAGTATGAGTTTGCATTTCCAGCAGTGTATCAGGGTATCTTTTCCCCTACATTTTCATCAGCATTTTGTTATTTTTTTGATGTTTGGATGATGGCCATTCTAACTGAGGTGAGGTGAAATCTCATTATGGTTTTGATTTGCTGGCTAGGGATCCTGAGCATCTTTTCATGTGTCTGTTAGCCATTTGTATTTCATCCTTTCAAAAATGCCTGTTCGTATCCTTAGTCCATTTCCTAACTATGCGGCTTATTTTATTGTTGTTGATTTTCTTGAGCACCTTATATTTTCAGTTATTGATTATTTTTATTTAAAGAAACTGGCAGATTTTCTGTCCACTGGTTCAATCACTTCTGGCCTTTTGGCTAAGATCAAGTGTAGTATCTGTCTACTGATTCATTCTCCAAATGCCCACAAAAGCCATTTGAAATTAGGTGGAAGCTGGAAGATTTGAACTCAATCCAGGTCCTCTTTTGGGAGTTAGGGACCCAACTACTTGAGCTATCTCTGCTGTGTCCCACAGTACACATTAGCAGGATGCTGGAATTAGAAGCAGACCCAAGACACAATTCAAGGCCCTTTGATGTCTATCCTTGGGCTTGTTTTAGAGAGTAGATATTATAAAAATACATCAGTTGTAAAATCAGTAGTCATCAACCCAAAAACAAAGAGCAACATTCAAGTGAATATTTTCAGTATCCACTCATATTTAAGTAAGAAGGAAACCAAATTAATATTTAATTATTGAGGATATTTCCAAATTAGAAGTAAAAATAATATTTCTAAATAGCTAATACACAGTGAGTGTTGTGTGTCAAATAATACTCCAAGTATTTTTACAATATTTAATTTATATTTGGCATAAATCTATAGCTAATTATTAGTGACAACAATTTGCTTTTATTGCCCACCAGTGAAAACCACAGTCATTAGTCATATTTTTCATATTCTCCGTCACTTTCCTAAGAGAATGAATGTGTAAAATATTGTAAAGAATGAATAAAGTATAACTATAAATGTATATAGGAAAACACAATTTTCATTACTAAAAGTTCATATATATATCACTTTAAATTTTGTAGCTTGAAGGAACAATTTCCATTTTTATACTTGCCAAATATAATAAAATATTTAAAAACAAAGGGATCACATAAACAAGACTAGTGTCTGAAAACACTGATAGAATAAAAACAAAGGGAGAGAACGATATAACATGGGAAGTGGGATACACAGCAGACTCATAGAAGGGCAGATGTCCTAAACAGCACTCTGGTCTCAGAATCAGCCCTTAAGGTATTCACATCTGGCTGAAAAGCCCATGACAGTATTTCAGGCATGGAAAGCCAAGACACTGTGGCAAAAAAAAAAAAAAAAAATGAAATGGCCTAAATGAAAGATCTCTGTGAGTGAGATCCCAGTGGAAAGAACGGGTCATCAAAGAAGGAGGTACCTTTCTCTGAAGGGAGGAGAGAACTTCCACTTTGACTATGACCTTGTCTAAATAAGATAAAAGTCAGCAAACTCAAAAGGCCTCCATAGCCTTGGCAACTCATGACAAGAGGCTAGGGAGATTACTGATGCCATAAACAAGAGTGTCAATTTGTTAAGTCAACAACAGGAGTCACGGTGCACTTACTACTCATGTAGGAACTCTGTCCTTAATGTGTTGTTCAATGTGAATTCATGCTATAACTAGTACTCAAACAGTATTTTACACTTTATGTTTCTGTGTGGGTGCAAACTGTTGAAATCTCTACTTAATATATACTAAATTGATCTCCTGTATATAGAGAATTGAAAATGATTCTTGATGTGAATGGAATGGGAGAGGGAGTGGGAGATGGGAGGGTTGTGGGTGGGAGGGAAATTATGGGGGGGAAAAAGCCATTGTAATCCATAGGCTATACTTTCGAAATTTATATTCATTAAATAAAAGATAAATATATATATATATATATATATATATAGCATGAATAAAGGTACTTAATTAATATCAATTAATTCCTTTTTGTTCAAAATTCCACAAAGATGTTGATGTGTATTGATCATTAAAAAAATCTGAAAGTTCTTTTTATATTTTAAATGTTAGGAAACAGAAGTCATTAAAGGGAAAAGCCTCAATAGGATACAATAAGACCTCAATATGGTCATAGTTACTTCATCTACCTAATCTAATGGTTACTTTCTATAAATCTTTTAATAACATTGTTTTTAGAGAGAAATTGGATATTACATGTACACACTACATCATACATTTAAAAAAAAAAACAATGCCTGAAAAATTGTCTGTTTTCCAATCAAGAGTTAAATTTATGAAGTTGTGTTAATAGATAAGGCAGTCCTCACTGATGTGCTGACATAAAGACAATTATAATCAGCCAAAGTAAGGATAGAAAGCCTATGTAAAATGTATACCTTCAGTGTTACCAAAGATCCTCCATATTCCAAAATAGTATAATGAGTAGCTAATAAAATGACTTCCCTATCTATAAATATAAGTCCAAAGAAAATATTTTTGTTGCTAAAAAGTCTCATAAACCATACTAAATCACTAGCAATGATTAAACAATCTATTTTGCTCATATTTGAATATTTTAATAGATTACAGCCCTAGTTACTCTTTACAGAAATACATTCTTAATAACACTTTGCTGTTTGGGATTAAATCCAAGGATATTTATAATAAAATGAATTCGTGCAGTCCAAGAATATTATATTACAAAGACTTCATTGCAGTCACATTCTAAATTTCAGTACAATGAAATAGCAAATAGTTTACTAAGCAATTAAATAAGAATGCTACATTTGTACCTTTTTTTCTTAAAAGAAAAACAACATGAAGTCTCCATTTTTAGTCAATCATTTATGGAATATAGTTAACTTGAATAATAAATTCTTACAAATGTCTGTTTCTCTCAAGACTCCTTACAGAGAAGAAACTATATGTTTCTTCAATAAACCTGTAAACAAAACTTTGAACTGATTTCTAAATCCACACATTTATCAGAGGGAATACTTGTTAATCTCTATACTTCTGTATTTTACTTCATATTAATAGACAACTATTGCCAAGGAATGTTGTAAATGTCAAGTTACCCCCATACCATGGCATATTACCCATTTTGCAAAACCTTAAAATGTTCCAGTTCCGAATTTATTGTCATCATTATGACATAAAAGAAAAACAGCCCATGGAAGAAGGGAATTGTAACCACTAATTCTGAAGTAGGTATGTGGGAAAAATTCTAGTAGTGTAATAGAATTGATGTTAGGCTGTGCTTATTTTGACTCTTGTTAGTGATATACAATATATCTCTTGCAGAATACATTCCATTATCAAGATTGCAAAGATTATATGTATCTATGTTGGAAACCTTTTATTTCCAACCTAATTAATAACAGAGCCCACTCTACATATGTTAGGTTTAAATTCAGTGCTCACTTCAGTTGTCTGAAAACAAAGCAAAAATATTAAATATAGTAAATATTTGAAAAATATTTGATAGAACCATGAGAATTGTTTTAAATTAAATGAAGAAACATGGCTATAGTCAGTTTCTCTATGTTTTGTTCATTCATGGTCAGAATAAGATACACTTCATAGAGGAAGATTTCACATCATCTACCAAAAAATTATCATAATGAGGTAAATTCAAGTCATCATGGAAATAGTCTTTTTCATTTTTCAAAATTTTTTCTTATAGTCATTACTGTAGCATTTTATGCTATAGCCACTATGTCTTATGACAATATTAGAAGAACATTAATATTCCTTCAGATTTATTTATGATTATATGTGCATGACAAGTTTATATGTATGAATAAACTCTATTATTCATTGCTCATTAATCCTAGGTCTAGGAAATGGGAATAAGACAGTGGAAACAGCAGTAGACAAGACAAATAAATATTTTGTGATATGTGTATGGGGGCAAATTGAGCAATGTTGAAGACATATGAAGGGCCAGTGGTGAGGGGATGCTTTTACTTTATTCATGGTAGTTAAAGTAGGCCTCCAAGTTATTCTTGTTCATGGAGCAAAGAGCTTGAAGAATGAGAGTGAGTCAATACATAACTAGGGAACTCTTATCTAGTTAGAAGGGGAAAGAAAGTATAAGTCAATATAATATATAGACTTGGCATACTTAAGGACTACAAGGAGTAGAGCGACCATGGGGAAGAATGAGGCTGAAAGTAATGAATGACAATGTGGGGGTGGTTGGCACTGTGGTATAGTGGGCTATGCCTCTGCCTGCAGCATCAGCATCCCATATAGGTGCTGGGCACCAGTTCATATACCATCTGCTCCTCTTCCAATCTAGCTCTCTGTTATGGCCTTGGAAGGCAGTATAATATGTCCCAAGTTCTTGGGCTCTGGACCCATGTGAGAGACTTGGAAGAATCACCCGGCTTTGGATCAGCCCAACTCTGTCCATTGTGCCTATTTGGGGGTGAACCAGTGGATGTTAGACCTTTCTCTCTGTCTCTCCCTGTCTTTGTCTGTAACTCTACCTCTCAAATAAATAAATAAATCTTAAAAAAAGACTGACATGGGGAAGAATTCACAGAAGCAAAGGCCACATTGGCCTATGAAATTAGATGCATAAAGCTGACATAAACGGACAAAGTAATGGGAAAACATGAAAAAGGTTTGGGATGTCTGAATGAGGAGTTCCAAATTACACTTACTAAGTTTGGAAAGCTATCAAACATTCCAGCTGATGTGTTGTGTAGGTTACTATACAGATTCTGAGATACAAGGGAGAAGTCTAGAGAGGAGAGAAATGGTTACAGTCGTTATCATAGAGTTAGAATTTACAAGCTGCTTAAAAAGCTAAAGATAGAGCTACCCAAAGACTGAATCACAGTTCAGACTATTGTTTAGACATTTAGAACATGGAAAGGAGAACTAGGAATATGTAGAGGACTAAAACTGAGTTTCCAGAAAGATACTGAACGAAGACTGTGGCTTAGCTAGAGGACTGGCAGTTATTGCCAACAATGGCCTGAAAGGGAGAAAGCCGGAAGGGTAAGTGTCCTGAAACGTCCTCTCTGCCACTCTCCAATTTCCTGATTCATTACATGTGTTGATCTCAGGAGGAATCCAGAAGTTATAGAGCTCAATTGAGGCAAGCTATACAAGTTAAGCTTCGGGAAGAGATCAGAAGAAAACAAGAGGTTAATTGATAAGTAAGGAAAATAAAATAACCTGATATGACCAGGGTTTGTGATGATCCAAGCAGGTGTGGTAGGAGGAGAAAGGACAAGGAAACTGAGGATATACAAAAGAAAATATTAATAACAATGAGATAAACAACATAGCGAGAAAGAAAGTTGGGGGAATAGAGGGAACAGTATCTAAAATCAGTAGAAGCAGTAGATTACAGGTCCTGGGACAGTTGCAGAAGAACTTAAGTCACATCAGTGTAGAAGGTGGTTAAGTAACCAAAAAAGCTAGTAACAAGAATGGGGAAGAACTCAAATGCTCCAAAATAAGATAATACAAACTACCATGAATTACAGTAGTTACA